GTGCCTTTTCAAGTAGTGAAGGGGCTTCAAATCTGGAATAGCATTTGTGGTCATGTCACAAATGCCAAAATGGAACGTACTGGCATGACAGGTTTCAATTTTGGCCAGCTTCCTTCTGTAGCAGGCTGTATCGTGGTCATGCAAGCAGTAGTGTGTTGATCGTGCCCTGTAGCAGATGCGTTCCATTTAGCATAACCTGGAATGAGTGCCTGCTTTCGAAGAAATCAATCATACAATGCTAGCTATGTGCACACAAATGAGCAAGACATTTCACAAAGGCCGCATTGAAATGATGCCCTATCTTGTCTGAGTGCAAACAGTTAAAGAGAATAGTGTGCAGTTCTAAAGCTGCATTGATTATTCTACATTTTATCCTGAAAGGCTCTAGGCATGTTTTATGTTCTGTAGCTGAGTGTTGCTTACACTTCCCCAAAGAATTCAGTTCCCTTGTCTGTCAAACAACAGTAGAGAGCAAAGTAGCGAACCACTTGAGAAATCATAGTGCATGTACATGAATTAGAAATCAGAATAATTTCTGTTTGGTTTGTCCCTATGCTGAATGCAAAATAATGAAGATCTAGTTCCAAAAAAAGCAACACGAAGTTTGCAGAGGGAATGTAAACAAGTAACTCATAATTCTTTTATGCTCTTTCAGTTGTATTAAATAAAAAAAGCAGGATGAGAAGCCCTCTTGATTAACATTCTTAATTGAGAAATCTGCTGAAATTCAAACTGTAGGGATGATGATTCAGCCTCGCTACTGACTGGATTTTGTGGGAATGCGTAGAAGCTTTTTGCCTTTCACTGTGAAAGATATCGGATGTTTGCAGGATTTAATAAGAGATTTAATAAGACTTTAAGAAACCAGAGTGAATCCATACTGTGTATCTTATTTTTAACCAACCCCAGACATTTTTGGCTGGTAAAATATACATCACCATCATCAGTCTCAACAAAACCCTTTTCTTTTTATCTCATTGCTCTAAGATTCAGTGTTGAGAACAGAGGAAGGAGTCTGGATTCAGGTGTCTGTGGATGTACTGCATTCATGTTGGCCACAGCTGTTTGCGTAGCGAGGTAAGGGTGATGTGGTTCTATGCAGCCACAGGACCTGCTTATGAATTTTCTAAGTCTCAGTGCAGAGCAATTGTTTCAATTGCTTTAGTCTTCTGTAATTAGTACTTTATCAGTATTCAAGTTTTGTAGCTAATAAGGTTAGACTGAGGTTTTTTTGCACCGTGTGCAATACTAGACCTTTTCTTTTAGGTCATAACCTAGGAATGATAGTGTAAAAAGTCCTGAATAGTTGCACCAACATGCAGGGAGTAAATTTAATCTCCATAACAAAGGACTATAAATACCTCAAGCTCCATTTCTATGTAGAGAATTTAGCATGCAGTCTTCTTATAATTCATTTAAGATATTAGAGAATACCAGCATCTCTTGCAGATTTCTGAATCACTGATATCCATGATGATGGCTGTTTCATAATGCTTGGAATACGCCTGAAAAGCAGCAGTGCTGACACAGAGGTTCTTTCCAACTGGTCAAAGATCACTTAAATTACAGCAGACTCCAGCAGTGCTTTCTGTCTTCTAGAAATCCATTACAGCATTTAAGTTAGGGTTCGTCAATGTGTGCAATTCACACAAGGAGTCTTGGTGTAGTAGTATTACTAGGGAGTTTATAGATTTATGAAGATGTTGTTTCTTAAATGTTGCTGTTTCTAAGGAAGAGAGGTAAAAAGCACATATGGATCTTTGTTTCAAGAATTACCAATGCTATTTCTTTGCCTGACTGCTTCATTCCCTGGTGAAAGGGGAACTTCTCAGATTCTGCAGTAATCAAAAGCTGGGATGTTTTACATTTTCTGATCTCTACTCCGTTACGTATGGAGGTGTTGTGCTAAGCTGTGTAGCTACACATAACTCATAAGAGAATTAATTCTGGTGATGCATTTGAGTTATCTTTACTGATCAGAATGATTTTCCTCTTTTGCTTTTTTTTTAATTTATGTATTATTTGGGGTGTGCTTGGTGCTAGCATGGAGTTTACCAGGTATTAAGTTAGTATTTCAGATATTTAGTTAGTGCCATGGATTAGGTGTTATTTTGACACCAGAACTTCATGTGGTCCCAAGGAAGGTGACAGATCTTTCAGATTAGGTAAAAGTATTTACTTGCAATGGTTTGCCCAACATGATGTTAGTAAACTTAAGGACTGGAGAGTTTATGTCTCACTTGGATGCACAATAGAACTTGCCAGGACAGGTACTCGCAAATAGGTTGTCCTAATAAATGGTCGTGTGTTATGTTAGCTTCAGAGATAATGAAAGTTAAATAAAGAATAAATAAATAAATAAATTCTAATGACAATTCTTTTCAAATGAGGAGCAGATACCTTGTAGGACTGTTACCTGTGTGATTTACCACACTGTGCTCTGAAACACAGAAGGTTACTTCAGATGCAAGTCCCTGCTCATCCCGTTATTTTGTTTTACGTACTTAAAAGAGCACACAAGGTGATAAAGGATGTGTTAAATTTGGCTGCTGCTTCTTTTTTGTTCTCAAACCACTTATTTATTCTTTCAGTTCAGATTCTTAAGACTGGGGATAATAGTTCTCTACTGTGTTGTACGAGTATATTCACTCATAAGGATTGCACGTATTTAAATGTCACGGTTTTGGAAGGCACAGAGCTGTATGTGATGCACTGATAACACATCCAAGTGTATACAAGACATCCAAGTGCATGGTGTTAACGTGCTCAGGTACATCACACAAAAGAGAAATGTACCTTCAGAATACTGAGGGACTTTTTAAATGTCTTCTGTGTTCTTCAAGGAAGGCATCCTATACAGCTTTTGTGCAGTAAAAGTTGTCCTTGTTTTCAGGTTTTAACTGTAGTCATTTCTATTACAATAAGAAAAACTGCTAGAATATTTCATCTGCAAGAACTGAGTACCCTTCAGTGGCTCTATAGCTCTCTGCTTTCAGCAGGAGAAAATTCAGCTTCTCAGACATTTTTCAAAAGATTTTTTACAAAGAGAACGGAGCAGTTTGCTGTTTTTATCTGTGATTAGTTTGGCATTTGGTTTTCCAGTTAAAGCTCTCCACAGTGCCCAGTAAAAGCTGCCATCAGCCAATTTGCTGGGGGTTCACATACTTCAGTGGAGACCTTCAGCTGTCAGCTCCTGCTGAGAGAGGCCCAGGCAGTTCTCTTGTAACTGTTTCAGTCTCAGCGATAAATATTAAGCTTAGCATGCTACTGTCAGTATTAACGTTTTGCTCCAAGCCCAAATGAGAAGAAAAAAAAAGGTTTATTGTTTAGTAGTCTTTTCTATACCAGTAATAATACAGTAAAATTGCCAGATGATCTACATAAAATTTTTAGACAAAGTTTGGGCATGCAGTGCAGACAATTCAATCCTTTTATATCTTCCAGCATCTGTTTGGTCAGGCTGGGACGCAGCTGCAAACAAATTCACGGTTATGTAATAAATCCAGTTAGCTACGTCCTGCACTTTGGAGTGGCAGCTATGTTTAGCTCTGTTAACTGAACGTGGCTCTGAAATGCGTTTTCCACCATGCTCATATGCTGATAATAGAAACACAGACTTTATGTGGTAACCTTAGGTCAGGAACAGCAGGTGCAGTGCAGTAGGGGAGTGCTCATCACAAACAATGGATTTGTAATTCCAGTTGAAGCAATGCCCAGTAATTTTTGGAGCACACGGAAAACATCCAAACTCCACTGCAACACGAAAGAATACAACATTGGTGGGTTTGGTTGTTGGGAAGGTTGCTTGTTTGATTTCCGTGCCACGCTTTGGGCTTTTGTTTATTCTCCATCTTGTGCTGACCACTGCCTGTGCACCGAGCACTTCACAATAAGAGCCACACGCTGGATGTTTTGATGGTGGAGGGCATGCAGCATGCAGCCAGATTCTCAATATGAGGAATGCTTACCGCAGAGCATTGCGATCAATGCTGTGTGCTGGGAGGAACTCCTGTGTAAGCAGCCCTCCTTCCACCCTGACTGCAGTATGTCTGTCACACACAGCCCAGTGACACACGCAGCCCAAGCACGGATGCAGGACAGGCAGACAATATGAAATACAAGAGTTCAGCAACTCAGAGTGGGTCTGATGCTGAAGTACCCATGTTGGTCGTTGAACATAATAGCCACACCATTTTTCTACAGCATGAATACTTGAAGGAGAGAATTCTGTTGTGGTTATACGTTGCCACTTTCAGTAAGGCTCATTCCAGGACCTCCAAATGCTGGTCATTTTTTTGGAGTGGAGGAGGTCCCTCGTTGTGCAGTGCTGTGCAGAGCTGCTCAGCCCATCTCCCACAGCTTTCCTCCCTAAATGTACAAATCTTCACGGTGTGTTCCATGTGAGCACTGCTCGCTTCGTGCCGGCTGCTTCCAGTGCTGCCGATGCTGTGCACACTCTGTGTATTAACATTACGGCCATTGAGGAAAAAATATCACTAATCACTGATATTTCACAGTTGGTGCATTTAAAGTTATCCCTTCTCACAGCTTGCTGGTTACCGGGTATTGAGAATAGGTCCTGGAAGGAGCTTTTATTATATACGTTAGCTACCCGCGGCAGGTGGAATTATCTTTGGTCTTCTTTTAGCTTGCATCAATTAATTTGTTTTGCGACTAAAAGTTCCAAACCATTCTGACTCAGAAACCGTAATTCCGTGTGGAAGAGCGGTCAGACAGCGCCGGTTCGGAGCTCCCCCTCAGCAGCAGCGCTCCTCCCGCACAGCCGAGAGTACAGCCGACACCCCCGAACCCCAGCGGGGCTGCGGAGCACCGGCCCGGGCCGCTGCCGTGAGGGAGGCGGTGAGGGAAGGAGTGAGGGCGGGCAGCCACGGTGGCCCCCGCCCCTCGCGCCCCTCGGCCGCTCCGCGCGGGGCGTGGTCAGCGCCTCCCGCCGGCAGCGGCGCCCCGTGCCCGCCGCGGGGCTCGGAGGCGGCGGGGCCATGGCCGAGCCGAGCGCCGGGCTGCGCTGCGGCCGCCCCCTGCTTCTTCTCCTCGCCTGCCTCTTCGCTCCCGTCCTCGGGAAGCCCGGAGCCGGCCCCGCCGTCCGCGCCTCTCAGGCGGGTAAGGCGCTCGGCCCCGGGGCCGCAGCCCGGCTCTGGGCTGAGGGGGGAGCGCTGCGGTCACTCCGCGGTGCGGAGGGGCGCGGGGCGGCGCGTTGTCTCTCGGAGTTGAGGAGCGGCCGCCTGACGGCCCGCTGCGGGCGCGGCACGGGCTGAGGGGTGCGAGGCAGCGCGCGAGGGCGGGAAACGAAGCTTGGAGGAGCAAAATCGATGTTCCTTCAAGGAATTATTGATCGAGAAATATTTCTAAGTGCCTTATGGGCGCGTTGCTAAGGCTTCTACCAGAAAGAATGATAATCCGGGAGTGGCAGTATACGAGCGGGAGGGAAATTAACGGAAGATAAAGTTGGCTTTTCTGAAAGCTCAAAGTTTAGGAAATAGCCCTCCGTAGGGTGTAAGGGAACTCGATTGCATCGCCCTCTTGCTTTTAATTCAGCATACACAATTGCAATCTGTTACTGCTAAATGTGACTGGAAAGGTTATTCTGTAACAGAATTTGGAAATGCAGCGTTTTCCATCACAGCAGAAGATGGTGAAGATCTCTGCTGCGACCCGAGCTTCTTCCTGACAGCAGAAAGCCACGCGCCTTCCCCTCCCAAAGAGGATCTTGGCATTTATTTGTTTATTTCCGCCTCTCTTTTCCTCTTTTTGTTTTCTTTGGTGATTCTTGGAATGCTTGTGCGATGCACACTCTCTAGATTAGGTCTGTACAAGTAAACAGTTTGCCTGTGGAGGTTCTGTGCACTTGCTCATCCTCGCACTCCTTGCAGAGCGCAGAGGGCTGCCTGCCACCCCCGTGCTTTTATCATACAACCCACAGTGCGGTTGTTTGGAGCAAAAACAGGGCTCCGAGCAGGCAGCCCGAAGGTGATTGTATCTATTTCCTGATGAACTGCAGGCTGCGTGACAGTATAGCATGCTGCTGTCGTTATAAAATTTGTACATGCACTCATTAGTATGAGCAGTAATTATCCCTTGATGCTAAGCTCTTAGGGGACTGTCTAGTTATACTTTCCAATTATCAAGCTGAAAACTTTGATCTTTTAAATTCAAGTGAGTGTAAGAACTGTTTTCCCTGCTTTCTGCATGCAGATGTCGAGCTGTTGTTCATACTGGTTAGGGCTAAGCAGCGTTGCAGTTGGAAATCTCTGACAGTTTCATGTCTGCAATACGTCACTCTGCTCTGCTGCTGGCTGGCACGATACTGCTGTGCTGGGGGAGAGCAAATAGCAATGCTCCAAATGACTTGAGCAGCCTGAAATAAATGGAAATATGTACAAGTTCTTGCAACACAGGTCTGTCTTGGTTGTACTCTTAACCTTGGAGGTATCTAGATATCCTCTGACGAAACTGAAGACCGTGCAGCAACTGCAACTTGTGATCATTGTAAGGAATAGAGGGATTTGTCGTTGAGTTACATGTATCTGCCGATTAATGAAGCAGTGGCAGGGGGTTCTCTCTCTGTGTTGAGCATTCTTTATATGTTTTTATTTATATTTTTAAGATCTGTATAGTTAATATTGAAAGTACTCTTCCTTTACTTTTTCCTGTCTGTGCAATAATACTGTGGCTTGTGCTTAAAATTGTCACCAGCTCTCAATGTAGCAACGTAGTCTGATGTGACCAGATCTGCTCGGGGAATTCAGAGGACAATTGCCAATGCTCGGTGTAGAAAATTCAGAGTTTATAGGAAAGATGGAAAACTTAAATATATTTCCATTGAAATGACCATGGGACAGTTGTAGAATATGATACAAAGTGTTTCCACTGCACATTTAGCCTTCAAAGTGCTTCCTTCGTTATAAATTATGTGAAAGACATTGAAAATTAGAGTATTGTCGTAATAAAAGTGCAAGTGTACCCAAGCAGGTGTGCTGTGTTAATGCCACTCCCTGGTATGCAGGCAAGCTGTTGGGTGTGCTGCAGTTTGTAGCAGGCAGATTTATGGATAGCAGGCTGTGCACTACACCAGAATACCATTAAAGAAGCAAGTTTTAATTATAAAATACGGATATATGGCCATGATGATTATCCTTCATAGTGTTCTTTCTCACTGTAGTGATATTAAATAAGAAACCTGTGCTAGAGATTCTAAATTATAATATTAAACTTCTAAGAAGCCCCCTGCGCCATGGATCTCTTCTCAAAAAGCACCAAGTAGTGATCCAGTTGTTTCTGTTACTAATTGCATTTCCTACTTAATTTTTAACCCATTGTAGCCCTGTCAAAAGTATGCTCCCACTGCATCCATGTTCTTAAGGTAATGATGCAAAAAATGAGCGCTCTTGGCATAGAAATGATTGTCTGTGATTGCAGAATTCAAATTTTGGCCGCTTTCTGATTTGATTTTTTTATTTTGTCCTGTACACAAAGTCACACGGAGGAAGACTGAGTGGAGAGAGCTTTGGGTGCAAACGGAAGTAAGTGTTGCCTCCAGGATTTATCACTGTAGAGCGCAGCTACCTGCGGTTCAGGCTGCAGAAGTTATTGAGCTCCACCTGGCTAAAGCCACACAGGTGCAGGCATACTTGGAGTGGCCCTTCAGGAGCTGAAAACCCGCTTCAGTGTGAGGCTTGTTCTCCACTTTGCTAATCCTTTCCATAGGTTTAACTTCTTCCTGCTCTTTTCCCGTGGTGTAGCCTCCTCCAAGTGCCTGCTGCCTTGCTGCCAGCTGTATTTCCCCTCTTTTGCTCTCTTCTGTACCTTTTTTTCTGCTAACCACCAGTTCTTCAGATTGTTTTAATTAGTGCTAACACCGATAAACGACGGTTACACACTTGGTAATTTTTAAAGCATGCAAATACACAAAGAAGAGTAATTGAACGCGTGCAGTCCATGCAGTGGATGAGCTGTGTGTCCTATTAAATAACATGCAGAAAGATGAGGGGCTTGTTTTATTTTTGCCTATTCTTCAGACCTTGTTACTGCCTCCAACCTCCTTCTGGATATAACCTCCTCTTACAGCTTATTTAGTAAGCAGAAAAGAGAGCTAGAAGCATGAAAACGTGTGGATATTTCCATGAGAGAGAGAGAAATAGCGATAATTAGTTGAATTATACTGTTAGTAAATATGGTAATCTCATTAAATCAGTGAGTATGGTGTAGGTCTGAGTGTGAGGTGTTTGAAAACCTTGCTCTGAAGCGTGGCAAAGTGGTAAGGGCACACATCCCCTTTTAGCTCAGTGTAAGAGAAGCTGCATCTGCAAGTGGTGTGTACCTGGAGAGTGCTGTGTTGGTGCACAGGAGGTCATCTTACAGGAGCACGGAGACTGTGACAGTGCAACTCTGCCTCTGCATTGCTTCAAGGTCAATTAATGCTCACAAATTGTTCACAAAATTCGGTAGCGTTGGAACTTTAACAGGAAAACGCAATTAATGCTCATACAAAAATCCTGTATTTATGAAACATTAGGCTGGAATGTACACAAAACTATTCATCATTGAGGAAACAGGGATATAGAAACAGAGAAATTGAGTTGTGTCTTCAGGAAGTGTTCTCTCAGATGTCTGTAATAAGCAGGGCTTGGCAAATCCGTGTGCAGTTAGGAATGGGAAAAAACCCTTGGCTAACGAGGTTGCATTGAGCTTAAATATCAGTAAGAATTCCTAACAGTGGTTCTGCTGCACTGTTCTGACCAGCAGTGCTGACCGAGGTGGAGAAATTCCCTCGTGGTCAGGCCCTCAAAGCACAGCAGAGCACTGTGATGGGTGGGAGGAAACCAAAAGCTGCAATGCTGCGCTTGTCTGGGCTGGGTGCAGCCGCAGGCAGGGAGCTTTGGTGCATTTCAGTTGGTGTCTTCAGCCCAGCCAAGTCTGCCACAAATGCAAGCCCTTCAAATTGTTGACCCAGGTTGTGTTAAAATGAGTGACAGGCAAACATCGTGCTGCCTGCGCTGACCACAGCCCCGCAATCTTAGGCAATTCTGGAATTTTAGTCCTCTGCAGCGTCTGATCATCGTGATTCGCTGAATGTTTGTGATAATAAACTTTAAATAGAGATCTCTGATATTGCTTTTAATTGATCCTTCTGTTTCCTTTGTCTTCTTTCACAAGAAAGGTTAAACAGTCATTTTCCTGCAAGCACCGCTCACTACTTCATCGTCTTCTGTGGCGTGCACTAAATTCACCTCCTTGCCAAGCAAAATAATATTAATCTTTTAAATCTCTCCTCGCGTGCATGTCTGCCTCTGGTTTTAATCTGTTTATGCCATTCTGTGGTGCTTTCCTATTTTCGATGCATCTTTTTTTAGATGGATACTGTTAGTGAGCACATCACTTCTAGAAAGGTCGTGCCATAGCTTTTTGTTATGGTGCATTAAAAAGAGATGTTTGTGAACATCTTTGGGTTACTTTGCCCCTTAGCCTGGCTATAATAATTACGAAGTCTTTCTTTTGCAGTAGTTTCAGTCAGTTGAAATCTCATCAGTGAGCAGCAAGCCCCTTTGTGTGTTCTGGTGGTCTGTGTGATCTCCTGGGTCATCCTTTGTTGTTTTCCAAAGCTCTTCCAAACATTCCATTCTCCAGGGAGATGGGAGGAGACATTTAATTTGCTGTTCTTTGTTAACTGTACAAGGACTTTGTCTGTGTAGGTCATCAGTCAGTCTCCAGGCACTGAAATGGATCCCTGAGCACTCTGAAAATGAAGTGACTGACGGCATGCTATTACTTAAAAAGAAAGGTGCCTTCTGGTCTATAGAAAAATAGAGGATTTAGTGATAGACACATTAGCACATGTCTAGAAAATAATAAAGATGTGGGGAAAAGTACTTTACAAGTACTGCAGAGCTTATGTGTTGCATGGGCACAAATGTTAGAAGAAGCAAGGTGGAGATAGCTGCATTTCAAACAGGAGCAGAAGCTCTGCAGTGTGCTGAAGGCCTGTGTGCTGGTCTTTAAAAGTGCCACTTTGGTTTAGAACAATAGAACTTCAACTCCTCATAGGTAAGTTTTGAGTTTTAGAGATTTCCATGGTTGCATGGCGCCTGGTAAGTGCTGTAAGTCAAATGACATGAGTGCATTTTGCCTCTGTTATTATTAGTAGTAAAAGTATCTTCATTTCTTAAGCAGTAAACATGCTGGCAGTACTGAGGGGCCAATACATCAGCTCGTTTTGTAACATTCTGGCACAGCCGTGGCCATGCTTCTAGATGGAGGGGGATGAGAAACTTATTACTACCTGAGCATATGCACACAGATGTACTCGTTTAAATCACTGTTAATAAGTTGCTTTTATTGTGCAGGTGTATCTGAACCTTCTTTTATTGCCAAGAGTGAAGATCGTTTGTTTAAACGTTTATTTGAAGACTATCAAAGATGGGTTCGTCCAGTGGAACACTTGAATGATACGATAAAAATCAAGTTTGGTCTTGCAATCTCTCAGCTAGTAGATGTGGTACGTACAGTAAATAAGCTTGTTTCTTTTATTTTACTTTTTCTCCCAAAACTTATTCTCTTCAAATTCTTCTCAAATCGAATCAGTTGGTTTTTCCAGTTGGAGTTTTTCCTCCACAGGTTTCTTGTTCCATCTTGTTTCCATAGCAAAACAGTGAGAGTGCATGAAATACAGTCACATGAAAAAAAGGAAGAGAGGAAAGAATCACAGGAGGGGGAAAATACTGTTTTTTAAGCAGCTGAATAATATAAGGGCATAACTGTTATGTTTTAAAAGTTCTCCTAAAAGTGTATTAGCAAAGACTGGAATGGTTTAGGGGTGCTTTCTGTTTTTTACATTGCAAACTTGCATCAACTGTAGCACTTAGTTACTATGTGCAATGCAATTTTTTTGTTTTAATAAAATACATTTCATTTTTATAGGATGAGAAGAATCAGCTGATGACCACAAACGTCTGGCTGAAACAGGTGTGTGTAGAAGAGCAGTGAACTCTGAGGTTTCATAACTGCAAATTGAAAATTGGATGCAACTTTCCTGAAGATTTGTTCGCTCAGACGCTGTAGTTCTTTCTTACTTCACGTAGTTTGTTTACATTGAAAGGATGAATTGTTACAAAATTCAGCTTAAAAAAACGAAATATGTTTTTAAAATGTGCCTTATAAAAAGAATTTTGAGGCTGCATTGTATGGCTGCTGAGTAGACCAAGGTGTGTGTTATCACCATGATGAAAATCACTGCCTCTGTACAACAGGTTTTCTTTCGAGAGCTGTGTTAAGAGAAGTATGAAGGGTTTGTGTATATTGTTATACATTTGTTTTAAGATATTTGTCTTGTCAGGTGTTCAGTGAATAACTACCACTGAAGTTTTCAATTTCAGACCTGTATGTACTTGCTATAAAAAGCTAATTTTGCTCATCACAGCATTTGTTTATGGGCAAGAGGCAGCTACAGGCTTGATAATAATCTAAGTCCCATGCTAAACTTAGTGGCCACTATTAGCCTGTGAAATGCTTCTCACAAATCATTCTTAATTTAACTTAGAGAAGTGGTTGCAGGCTCTAATCATATTTGCTGCCTTACTAAATTATTTTTATTTTGGCTATTTTTTTTTTCTGGTTCTTTCCATTCTCTTCTCTCCAAGACATGACTGTAAGTTCAGGCATTTATTTTCAAGAAAACTGTATTACTACTTAGCAAGCAGAACTTACTGCAGTTAAGTCAGCTCAAATGAAATAAGAACTGACCTGAATGTATTTACAGTTCTCTCTGATGAAAAATGCAAGTTTCTGAGCATTTGCCCCTCTAGAGCTTTTAGTTCAAATATAAAATACTATCTCTAATACTTTTACTTGTGTAAACATGCTCTGAAAAAAGATTTTAATACTGTGAGGTCTGTATCAAAATAGTGTCAAATGGCTCTTATCATAAAAAACAAATGCTGGACAATGTCCTTAGTTGTCTGTTCAGCAAATTCAGTGTTGTATGTGAAGTTGAGAAAACTTACAGAAGTGTGATGCATTTGTTTGCTAATTTTAAGTTGCCTGTACGTCTATTTTTATCTGATCACGTCCTGCTTAAATAAACTCCACCTTTATTATGATTTCTACACCTCTTGCATCTACAGGAATGGATAGATGTAAAATTAAGATGGAACCCTGAAGAGTATGCTGGAATAACATCTATTCGTGTCCCATCGGATTCTATTTGGATCCCAGACATTGTGTTATATGACAAGTAAGATTTTAATCTTTTTATATAGAACACCTTTTCCTCTTGCTAACATGACTCTCCAACCTGCTTGTAGGAGGCTTCTTGTACATAGTATGTGGATGTACATTTAGTACATTAAGAATTAGCAGTAAGTTTGTTTCTTCAAGAATTGATGGACCCCAGAGGAAATAAGTTTTGAATGAACCTTTCTAATCAATTCAGGTGCATGTGCAACACTTCTAACATTTTCTGGCTTGGTAAGTCAAGAGAGACTGATTATAATTTCAAGCTTGGAAGTGGAGCAAAAGTGGAGTGGTTGTTTTTTTTCCCCAATTATTGTGATTTCTCCAGATATAGAAGTATTTGTGCTGTATTACCAATAGAAACATCAGGGTTTGGTCAGGCTGCTAAAGGTCAGGATTTCTACAATCCCTTGCTTGAATCTTCAGGGCTGCTGTAAATTGTACAGATCTTTTAATGGCTTGACAATGTTCTTCACTTTTGTGAAGGTAATTAACTGTGTGAGATTCAGGTTAAAAAACAAAACCAGAACAAACAACAAAAACCACCCCCCCAAAAAAAAAAAAAAACAAATCTATAAACCAACAAACCCCCCAGGAAATCAACCAACCACAAGAAGTAAACTGTGAACACAGCACGGTACAAAATTATGGCAGTGAAAGGGGAGAAAGAAGGAGCAAACAGCTGAAACAACAATAACAAAACATCTCTTCCTTCATATATCTCTTTTTCTTTCAGTGCAGATGGACGTTTTGAGGGGACGTCTACTAAAACTGTGGTAAAATATGATGGCACCATTGCTTGGACTCCACCAGCAAATTACAAAAGTTCTTGTACTATTGATGTAACCTTCTTTCCCTTTGACCTCCAAAACTGCTCTATGAAATTTGGTTCCTGGACTTACGATGGCTCCCAAGTTGATATAATTTTAGAAGATTATGATGTTGACAAAAGAGACTTTTTTGATAATGGAGAATGGGAAATAGTGACTGCAACAGGGAGCAAAGGAAATAGAACTGATGGATGCTGCTGGTATCCCTTTGTTACATATTCGTTTATAATTAGACGTTTACCTCTTTTTTACACGTTGTTTCTCATCATTCCTTGCATTGGACTTTCTTTTCTAACTGTCCTCGTCTTCTATCTTCCTTCAAATGAAGGTGAAAAAATTTCCCTTTGCACTTCAGTCCTGGTATCTCTGACTGTTTTCCTTCTTGTCATTGAAGAGATTATTCCATCATCTTCTAAAGTTATCCCACTTATAGGAGAATACTTGGTGTTTACTATGATATTTGTGACACTGTCCATCGTGATAACTGTCTTTGCTATCAATATTCATCACCGCTCTTCGTCTACACACAACGCTATGGCACCTTGGGTTCGCAAGATATTTCTTCACAAACTTCCCAAGCTGCTTTGCATGAGAAGTCACGTAGATAGATACTTTGCTCAGAAGGAGGAAAAAGGAAATACGAGTGGATCAGAGTCATCCAGAAACACTTTGGAAGCTGCTCTGGACTCTATCCGATATATCACAAGGCATGTTATGAAGGAGAATGAAGTTCGTGAGGTAGGTGTTTTAGTTGTATTAAACTCATTTTGTTAAAAGTGGAAATTAAAGAAAAAAAGAACAAGGCAAATGAAATGAAGCACAACAAGAAGGAGGAATGGTTCACTGTGTGGGCACATTCACTGTGTGGGCACATTCACTGTGTGGGCACATTCAATATGTGCTAGCTTTTCTAGTTTTTATACTTCACTGGAAGTCATACACTTGTTTCTGCTGGAAAGAAGTACAGGTATGCTCCAACACTGAGCTCCCAGGTTGGTATAATGCCATACATGAACTCCTGACATATTTATGCTTTCCTATAGAAGCCCATGTTGTTGTTAATCAAATAAGCTCAGGGACACACGGCTGTTACAAGAGCATGTGCAGTAACTGCTACCTGCAGTGCTGCTGCATGCTGTTTTCATAATGAAAGAAGTAGGTATTTTTCATTTTAGTGTTGTACCTGCAGGCTGCCTGAAAAATATATTTGATTTACAATTCCAGAATAATTCCTGCTAAGCCTTTTTCTTGCATCTTTCATTTCCAAATATAGACAATTTTAAATTCCATAGTTTATATTAGTTTAAATACAGGCTGTCACCATAGATTAATTATTTTGTGCTGAGATCAGACTTTGACTGGATGAACTTTTGAGTGATCTCTTCTAGCCCTATTATCATTTCCCTTTGACAACTTTTGATACAATTTAAAGGATGTTTTTCAGTCTGTGCATTTTCACAGTAAGCTATCCTTAGTGTGGGTATTTATGCTGTGCAGGTAAGATCATTACAAATTAGTTTTCCTTCCTAGCTTTAAACTAGCACCACTTGTAAAAGTTGCTGAGAGGTATGTACTCCTATGTTAGCCTTGGAGCAAATTAATTCTTCTAATGCAGCTTCTCAGGACTGTGCTCTGATATTATCACGAGGGATCCAGACTGGATTTTGAATACATACTGTACTGTCAAAATAGGATTCTTGTATATACAGTGCAGAGTATGTCCATGTATATACAGCACAAACAGAATAGTTTGCTTAAAGGTATAGTTTTGAGTAAATTGTGAATCGATTCTCTTTATTAAATTACTTTATTCAATTGTATGTGGCAAAAGAGTTGATAGGTTTTTGGTTGCTGTAACTCTAAACGCCAGAACTGCACATACAGTGGATTGGGGATTCACTTACATTTTGTTATTTGGCCTCTGGGGAATGCAGGCTTTGACTGCAGAAAGATTTTAGCCCTGGTTGTTGAAAATAAAGTTTACACAGCTGGTGCTGTAGCCTTGCCTTGCAGGATGCTGTAGGCCTGGGAAATGCAGGTAGCTCCAATTGAAACGAAAGTTGCTTTTTTGGCAGTTTTAATTTGCTTGCATGATTATATCAGCTGTACTTGCAAAACTGTCTGTAGACATAAATAATCCTATCAAAAAGGGAAACAGTCTTGAAAGCACTGTGAGTGTTCTACCTGGTGTGTAATTCCATGCACTAGTTGTCACAGTTCTCAGATGTTGTGAGTAATCTAGAGCTGCTGTCTGCTGCTAATTGTTTGCAACTTTAGCATCCAGCTTCTGCCTGGGAGTGCTACTCTGTGGTGAGGCTGTGGCATGAATCCTAAATCCTCCAGTATGTTATTAAATTGCATACTGATTTTCTCTCTGCATAACTGAGGATGTTCTATGCTCATTGGGGTCAACTGGTCCACTAAAATTTAGCATTTGAGCTGCATATTTTACTGGTCTACGTAGAGAGAAGTGTTTTCCTGCTGTGGGTCACAGTGTGATTTATTAATATGTGTATATATTGAAAAGGAGGGGGTAATCAAGTTGACCTGCCTAGGAGGGGGAGGAAAATATGAAGTGATTAATTATTGCAGAGTCTGATGCTGCATTTTCACCCACTCTTGCACATACTGGACAGCTCTTATGTTCTTTGTTTTTTAGGTTGTTGAAGACTGGAAATTTATTGCTCAGGTGCTTGATCGAATGTTCTTATGGGCCTTTCTTCTGGTTTCAATAATTGGATCACTTGTGTTATTTATTCCTGTTATTCATAAATGGGCAAGTATAATAGTACCTGTGCATATAGGCAGTACAAATACATAAGATATTTTTGGATCTGTCTCCTGCTAACATCATTCTAAAAAGGTTTGGTAGTATTAAGTTTCCATGCATGTTCTTTGTAGGCACGTTTCTGATAGGAAAAAAAAATACAGTCCTAAACTTAACAATTGTGATGTTAAAGCATGGCACGTGGGACTCACAGAAGTCAATCTGCTTAGTGCCAGTCTATTAAGATACTTGGACATCAGGTCAAAGTCAAAGACCTTTGCAAATATCTGCATGTGCGTGTTAGAAGCAGTACATACTGACACCTACTGAGAAGGAGAAGGATTGAGATTTCTTAATGAAGATCACTGTAGTCCCATTATTAAGTTACTGTGGAAAATATTATATTTATTGTTAAATTTTTGCAGATGCTTGCACAAGAGTTGTATTTCATCTTATTATATTATGCAAATGAGAACTTGTATCTACACAGTAAATGAAAAATTATAATAGAAACATCACTTGAACTTCCTTTCTTTTCAGCAGACAATAAACAGAGCATTCTGACTGCGTTATGCCTCTATAAATTTTCAGTGGCATTTGCTGCTAAACTTAAAATCTTGTTAATTCTACCATACTAATGTGACCCTGTGATATACTGAGCCTTAAAATGCTTACAGGATACGTGAGTATTGACATCTCTGTGTCAGCTATATCTCATATATGTACATTTAAAATTAACAATTAATAATAATGAAATTATTTACTCTAAACTATATTAATTAAATAATGGGTGTTAATTTCCAAATTGATTCCAGTGCTGCTATTCTTAAAAGTTTTATTTCTGGCAGAGACTCTAGAAGAGAATGTTTTTCCTACACGTTAGGTTTTGTCAGTTTCTTTGTTCCTTCACAACACAGCTGATTCCAGCAGGGCTCACGTGCAGCCTTTCAAGTCCCCTGCACAGGGAAATGATGCCAACTAATCTGTAAAAATCTGCTGTTATTTTTTTTACCAAGTCATAAATAATTCTGGTTGGAAAAGAAACGATTCTTCCTCTTCAGTTCCACAATTCCATCTAGTGTTAGATATCAGTATTTTCTGCTTTCCCATCATAATTTATTTTAAAAGTGAATTTGCAGTCTGATTTAATCCATTAGTACAACAACTTTTTCAGTATCACTAATATCAATGCATCAGAAACTGTGTGAAAATTGCAGAAGTGCTTTGGGCATCTTGTTTCCTTTCCAAATGCAAAGTTTCTTTTTATAGTCCTCCTTAGCTTTGAATTACTTCCTACAGTTTACCCTTATCAGAAAGGAAAACAAAGCAGGATATTAGCCATGTATCTTTTTAGCTCCCCTCCTGCACCTTGTTCAATAATGTCTGAAGACTCTTATTTATATCAAAGGGTAATTGGCAGTGTGGCCAACAGAGTTCCAGCCTTTAACTAGTAACTAACAATTTCTGTAAATGCATGAAGTTCTTTCAGTCGTTTCTTTAATCAGATCACGATGTCTGTGGATGAAAAAGATATGTTGGAACCCTCGGGGTTTTCAGCTCATCCTCAGGTGTGTGTGAAATGAAATTATTCTTAATAGACTCAGAAGCATGGGCCTTTACTTATGTAACTCCTTTCTGAATGTGCTGAGATGTAACTACTGTAGTTTTGTCTCTTGGTCAAAATAAATGAAAGAAAATCCCAATTTTCAACAGCTTGATTCTCTTTATTTTTATAAATGTTACCTCATCTGACAGCGCTGTCTCTAAAAAGTTTCCAGTTTGGTACAGAGAGAACAGTTTATATATTTACAAAACATCTCATTACAGTATTTTTGTTGTATTGTTTATCCAAGCTCTCAAATCATCTTGTTATTATTTAAAACAAAAGGCATACCTAAGACATAATTTTAGCATACTTTACAGGAGTATTTTGTATCCACTTGCCTTCCCTTGTAATAAAACCATCATCTATTACTCATCCACTATTCCTTTTGTAACAAACCTGCCCACAGACCTTTCTTCCCACACTTTGACTGGGTTTATGCACTGGGTGGCAGTGTTCTGTAGCATTTGGTACGTATGCTTCCTCAGCCATTCTGTCCTTATCAGGGCACACGTTGAATTAATATGAACTTATTTCCAAAGGTCCCATCATGTCTGGTGCCAAGTGTCTTCCATTCAACTCTGGTAGCCTGAAGTACTCAACCTGTCTTGATTCTCTGAACATCTGTATAATTTTCAGTTTATCAGCAGCTTCTTAAATAGTTCCTATGAAGTTTAACATACAACCCACGTCTTTTCCAGCTATTGTGAAAAGGAGCTGGCAAGCACAGCACATATTACTTGGAGGAAGTTTTAAAATATATTTTTTTTTCATGTTATCACATTATTTAATAAAGCCTTCTAGGTCAAGCAAAGTTGAGCCAAGAGAGATCCTTATTCTACTATTGAAACACACAGAAGAGCTATCAGGTGCTGGGGTAAGAGTGCAGAGTTTGGTTGGCACAAGTTTTATTTGATTTCAGAGCATGATGTTTTAAGCTTTTACATGTCATCTCCAGTCATCAAAGGTTGTAAAAACAATCCTGCTGTTCCCAGAATACATACCAGGATGAAAACCCATAGAAAAATACGATCAATTACCATGGCAACATATTTCCAGTCATCCTGAATCTGAAAAATAAATCAAATATTAAGTAGGCATGTTTATTAGATTTAAAAGCATTAGCAATTAGGAATCTTTAACATACTGTGCAAAGAATTTTTTTGAGCTTTCCTGTGTTTATACTGATGAAATCATCTTGAAGCAGCTTTGTTTGAGTATGCTATTTGTGCTAAACCAAAAGCTGCTTCAGATACAAAAAGTTGTTCACCAATTCATCAGACTTCATGGGATACTACTTCTGTATGCCAGCACTGACAGTAAAAAGCTTCGTGTTTTTAGGTGATCACAATTAGCCAGAAAAGCTTACTGAAATACACTACTGGTCTTTAAACAGTATGTTGCAGATGAACTGGTGCACAGTTACCTGTGTGTTTGGTACACACTTTGTAGGTAATGCTGAAATTTTATTACGTTCTCATGCAAGATGTGTTGTCAAGAAAGAGAACGTTGTGCAAGAAAGCTGCTCCCCAAAATTATCTACATTCAAAGTTGCATGTGCTTGGAACACAGGTTATGTAATTTACTTACACCAAACAGTGCTCTGTGTTGTCATTTGGTTTTTTGTTTTTTCTTCAAAGCAAATTGATCGTAAATACAGTTTGAGTAACAGTAAAATATATTCTTACCTCTTTTGCTTCATTCTGCATTTTCATATTTTCTGCAATGTATTTAACACTTTCAATAGCATCTCTCATTTCTGGTGACAGAACGGAAAATGAAAACAGAGGATCTACAGATTCAGAGCTGGAACTTCTTGTGAGATTGCCACTGAAATCGGAAAACTTCATCCGTTGGTACTGGCAACAGCTGCATGCCACGTCTTGACATACATAGCCATCTTTGCAGTATTTGATTTCAGAGCTGTTGAAGCAATTTAAGTTTGAAAACTCAGAAGTGTAAAGGGGCTTTGGCTTCTGATTATTCTCTTCATCGCTGGTGGGCCTTGTCATAAACATGATCCTGGGAAGTAAGTTCAAGAAGATAGTTCTCACCCACACAGGCATGGTGTGTGTCTTGGGTGTTCTGTAGTGCACGTTAAGAACGAATACCGTAATGACAATAGACAGCGTTACAAATATCATAGTGAAAAGGAGGTACTCCCCAATAAGGGGGATCACCAGGGAGGTCGAAGGTATGGTTTCAGTGATGACAAGAAGAAACACCGTTAAAGACAGAAGGACTGATATACAGAGCGTCACCTTTTCACCGCAGTCAGAAGGCAAATAGAAAACTAATACAGTCAGAAAAGAAATCAGCAGACATGGAATAATCATGTTGATGGTGTAGAATAAAGGTAAGCGTCTAATGTAAAGAGAGTATGTGATGTCTGTGTAGATCTCTTCACAGCAGTTATATTTAATGTCATGTTTATACCCAGGAGCTTTAATAATGGCCCATTCTCCACTCTCCCAGTAATCTTTCAGGTTCATCGTAGAGCCAATTAAAACCAAGTCAATTTTGGCTTTATCATAAGACCAGGAACCAAACTTCATGGTGCAGTTCTGATAGTCAAATGGGAAGTAGGTTACATCTATTTTACATGAGCTTTTAAATATAGCTGGGGGTATCCAGGTCACATCACCCGTGTACTTCAGTAGGGCCTTTGTCTTGTCATCGACCTGGAAATCTCCAACTGCACTGCAAAGCAAATGAAAATAACATCAGGATGCAACTGACCCAGGTAGTTTCACGTTGTCAGTTCATACACATTCAATCTTTAATACGGTTTGTGGAAGCCAGCAATTCCACATGCGATTCAGCTCCATGTCAGTATGCAGGACTGTCAGTGTTTGTCATAAATTATCACAGTTAAACAGCTTCATAAATTTTGAGGATTTGAAAAAAAAAAAAGATTCTCTCTTACAGTAATAACATAGTGCAGTCAGTATACAAAACAGCAAATGTGAGACCAAGCATGTCAGAACCCAAGGGCCAGTATCAAGGAATATCTGCAGCACTGATGTCTCCACTTCTTCTGTGGACCAGGAAGGCAGTAAGTAGTGTTGAGGTGCATCTTTGCCTGAATTGTGTATTCACTGATGTTTTTTTAAAGTTTTGTATCACTCCCCTGGTCCCATCCAGCATAGTAAGATCTATGTGACAATTACATTTGTTTATACAAAAAGTAAAACTGAAAATGTAATTTTCATTCTTATGGCTGCAGTTAGAAAAGCAGCAGTGTCACTGCTCTCTACAGATTTAGGCTTTGGATCTGTGTAGTGAAACACATCAGACTGAGAGCTGAGGAATCCATTTAATTATGGTTTGGCTCTTCACAGTCATGTTTTAGCTGTTAGCTTTAGCTTTTTAGCTATTGAAGTTTAGCTTTTGTATGCTGCTATAGGAAAGGTGTCAAATTACGAGTTTAGCAGATAGAAAGTTAGAATTAGCTTGTTTGTTTCAGTCTGACTCAGATAAGAAAACTGCAGTCCAAGGGAACTTACTGTCATTTCCCTTGTCAGCAGTGTAAAAAACAGTATTAAAACTGGGGTCTTGTGAAGGGAAAAAGTAAACCTCACTTTGGCCTGCCCCCCCTCCCCCAGTGCTTGCACCTTCAGGTTAGGACCTGGCTCAGCCAGCGATGCTGATGTAGATGGTGTGTAAGTAGCAGAGAGATGGGACATTGGAAAGTAAGCTTTTTCAGCAAGTTCACTGAATTTGTTGGTATTTATTAGTTTTTAAAAAATCAGCAGCAGTTACTCCTGTAGAATCACAGAATGGTTGGGGTTAGAATGGACCTTAAAGACCATCTAATTCCAAGCCCTTGCCATGGGTCTCAGATAGCTTTCACTGGGTCAGATTGCTCACAGCCCCATTCAGCCTGGCCTGGAGCACTTCCAAGGATGGGGCACACACACTTTCTCTGGGAAACCTGCAGCATCTCATCACCACCACAGCAAAGAATTCTTGCTTCCATCTCACATAGATCTTCCTTCTTTGAGTTTAGAACTGTTATGACTGAACTAAGAAAACAGGTATGTGGGAGTCTTACTTGTTATATAATACAATATCTGGCTTCCAGATCTGGCCAGAGGGCACTCGGATGAATTCAGCACCTCCATAATCCACTGGATTCCACCGAAGCTTGTAATCGTTCCAGATCTAATTAGAGAAGAAACGAGTCAGTGCATTAAGTTTGCAAAGAGATCAAAATCCTGTGGACTAGAGTCAAAACAAGTGCTGTGGGGTGGCTTTTAGAGCTGTTTTGTTTTGGATACCGCCACGGTCAGATGTTTCTTAATCGCACATGCAAGTCAGGTGTCTGTGTGGGTCTGGAGGTGACTCAGTCCCTGTACCAGTGAAACAAGGTGAGAAAGGAAGGGAGTGTTAGGATGGGAGTAGTAGCTTAGGCCTCAAAAAGCACTGCCACGCAGTGGAAATGGATTGAGGGGTGGCTGTGTTGCTGTGTGAAAGCACTGACGGGCCGACCCAGGTGGCATTATTCAGTCAAGCGACTGTTCATTAGTGCTCATTAAAACCCAGCTTAGCCAAATTGATGATTAAGATGAAGCTGCCTATTAAGTTAGTTATGCTGACCACCACAGTAAGTAATTGCCTTTTTAACCTATGAAGTTCCTTTTAAGCTAAGGCAGCATTGTCGAGTCAGAGTGCTGTGACGAGAGCCCCCCATGCGGAGCCTCCCGTGTGCCTTCCTATCCACCATGGCAACATTCTAGAGCGAAACGCGGCACTCGGGGACGACGCTGAGCGCAGGAGGGTTACTGCTGCAGCTGATCGCCCTCAGTTTAACAGCTGCACCCCGACGTTGGTCCCGTATTTAGACGCCGCGTTGGTGCGAGGGGCCGGTGGCGGTTACGTTGGTTGAGGCGCGCTCACCCTAGCGGCGCCCTCACAGGGCCCGAGGCGGGAAAGAGCGTGCCGCGTGCAGAGGTGCTGCCGCGTGCCGCTGGGGGGCAGCAGAGCGCCGGGCAGCAAAGCGGAGCTGAGGGGAACGGCCCAGAGGGGAACGGCCCGGAGGCTCCGCGCGTGAACTCCACAACGTTGGGCGGCCGCCTCGTGCCGGGCTCGTGCCGCCGGGTTCGGGGAACGCTACTCACGTGCTTCAGCCACAGGTTGGTCTCCATGATCTGGTTGACTTCGTCCTGTAAAACAAAGGCGTGTCGGGTGCGGGGCCGGCCCTCCCGCGGGCGCCAGGTGGGGCCGAACACTCACCACTTTGACCAGCTGGGACATGGACACCTCGAACTGGATGATGACGGGGTCCGAGATGTTCTTTACCGGGCGGACGAACTGGTTGTAGTTCTTGAAGAGAGCCGCGTACAGCCGGTGTTCGGGCTCGGAGCCGCCGCAGCCTGCGGGGCGAGGCGCAGACATGTGCTGCATCTGCCCTGCGATACCCCGAGCCGTGTTGATGTACGGCACAGCAACGCGCTGCTGGTGGGGAGGCCGTGCGCGAAGCTGCCCAGCAGCTGTGTGCTCCGAGCACCGCCCGGCCGTCAGCGCGGCACCGCTTTCCTTTTAGGAGGCTCTTCCTGAAAGTCTCCTGCGGGCAGCGCGGCTGCCGTGCTCCAAACAGAAGGACCTGTTTTGTGCTGCTTTCTGGGTGTTACGGCAGGCTTGTCAAAGGCACAGAGCTAACACCTGCTGAATGAACCCTCTGGACCATAAATCAACAGATATTTGCAAAGACACATTATTTTTCACCCTCTTGGCTAGTATCTTTTATAAATATAGCAGAGGTATCCATAGGTGATGGAGCTGAGGTGTTTAACAGCAGGTGTTGCTTTCTGGTCTTTTAAGAGCCCTTATCTCCCTGAGACAAGGAAGTTCCCCTCACGTGTAGCTGTATTCAGATAACACTTGGAAGGTGATTTCACTTCTCAGATTAGCGAAATCACTCAAGCCAAGTTGCTAATTGAAAAATGAACATACTTCTTTGATACTTCTGAACTGCTAGCATTGCCGTGGTGGTGGTGGTGGTGTTTTGGTATTTCATCTCCCAAATCAAGGTTTCCTGGAATAAATAATCTCTTAGATAAGTCATGTTAAAGCTAAGTATATAGCGACTCTTTATGATGGCCAGTCCCAAATTGCCAGCCTTTTGGTGTGCCACCAGCGGTTGGATTAAATCTATTGCCCACTTTATCTCCGGAATGAACGTATTAATGTTTTGTTTTTTTTTTTTTTTAAATTTAAACACTTTGCTGCTTGATTTGCAGAGATAAGGCACTGTTCGCAGCACGCATTTAGAACTTTTTAATATTGTCTCTCTTCTAGTCCTTAATTGCTCCACAATACATAAAACCAAGCCTTTACACGTAAGGTGCTTTCTCTTCTCAACATTAATATGGCTTTGTGTGTCTCGTTTTGCATATTGAATCAGGATGACTTAATTACCTCACAAGGAAGAGTTAGAAGCAAAACAAGACAAAAAAGCCCAACAGTGTAACAAACTGGTAGGATTCTGCACATTTCATCCCTTAGTTTGGCATAAGCTTCCACACTTCTTAAAATAAATTGGTACCCAAGCCACCTCCTGCTCACCTCCTCAGTTCCTCCTCTACACACGACAGATAAATTAAGGATCACTCACCTTGAAAGAGGATGCAAACAACAGCAGTTAAGAGGAGAGCGTGTGTGCTGTGCATGGTGCTGTGAATGACAGCCTGGCGACAGAGGCTGCCGGAGATGAGCTGAGCTGCCAGGGTTGTAGGAGCACAGCTCCGCTCCTGTGATGCGTGCAATGCCTGCGAGCAGCAGCACCCCGGCACGGCGCTGCGCAGTGCGCTGCTGGCAGCTGGGCTGGGCTGCCCCCAACCCTGCTACCCAGGCAGAATCGACTGCAGACAAGGACTGTGGGCAATGAGCGGCGTCCCAGCGTGGGCTAAAGCCCGTGAAATGGTGTGTGGGTGAACGAGGTGATTCGACAGCGCTGAAGATTTTTTCAATCAGCTGCTGTACAAAATCCTTCTTTGTAAGAAGCTTGTGCCATGTTACTAGGAGAAGTCTAGTTAATGAAAATCTTCCAATTGAATTGTGCTAATGAATATTGGTATTAGGGATGCCTGATTTAGCAGTGATCTGAGATCGTGAGACCCAAATTTCCAATTATGCTGTGAATGTTGAAAGTTTTTTCTTGGCTCCGTCTCATCCGTGCAAACACAAGTGCTGGGTGCCCAGCTGTAGCCTGCTTCTTCACTGTGAGAAAGGGATGGTGCTGTTCCAATTCAGCACATACTGGCCTGGAGCACCTCTGCTGTGAAGAAAGGTTGAGGGAACTGGGCCTGTTTAACTTGGAGAAGACAAGGCTGCAGGGAGGCCTCATTGTGGCCTTCCAGTACCTGAAGAGAGCATATAAGTAGGAGGGGGAACGGCTGTTACGATGGTAGATAGTGATAGGACAAGGGGGAATGGTTTTAAACTGAGATAGGGGAGGTTTAGATTAGATATTAGGAGGAAGGGGGTGACGGTAGTGAGGCAGTGGAACAGGTTGCCCAAGGAGGCTGTGGATGCCCCATCCCTGCAGGCATTCAAGGCCAGGCTGGATGTGGCTCTGGGCAGCCTGGGCTGCTGGTTGGTGACCTGCACACAGCAGGGGGTTGGAACTGAATGAATATTGTGATCTTTTTCAACCCAGGCCATTCCATGATTCTGTGATTCCAGTTTGACGTACGTAACTTGCCAGGATCTAAGTGCAGAGTGATGAGATCAATAAGAGCAGAGGTTTGAGTTGAGGCAGAGTTGAGAGCAGAGGTTGAGGCCTAGCTTGGCCAAAGTGTTTCAGAGTAACTGTCTTGGACAGTTCTTTTTTTCATGAGTTGGGAAGGTGGAATTGAGGAAAGGTGTAAGATCCCAGCCTGATCCCAAAAGTACCTGTTGTTGAAACCTTTTGGGGAAAGAAGATGAGGGACAATGGGGCGTTCTATTTGAAGTTCTGCTAAGCTTACTCTTTATGCATTGTCCTTGGAGAGCTTCTTAGGACTTGTGGGTTCTCACTGCAGAAATAAGAGTTTTAATCTTTTCTTACTCTCATGAAATACTCTGAAATTAAAAAAGAAACAATTCCCCCAAAGAAACCAACAAAAAAGCAAGCAAAGCCCTTTGGGTAAGGGTTATCCTCTATCAACCTTTCAGAGCCCCAGCATTTGATTTGTTTCCCTTTCAGTCAAAATTGAGGTTTGCAGTGTTGCTCATTCCCCGGGTGCCCGTCAGCTTCTATGTTAAATTGTGTATTGCTTTTTGCCTCCCCTGGAACAGCCAGGTGGCGTTGGGCTCTGCTGCACACATCCAGCAGCTGGTGCGGAGGGAGGAAGAGGGGAGAGAGCACAGTGGGACTGCACCCTTCTTTTGGGTGATGGTGAGAGGGAAGCTGTGTGGGACATGGGACTGTACCCACCAGGTGCTGCTCTCCCTGCTGCTAGGGAAGAATAAACGACAACCCTGTGTGGTGCTGTGTTAAGAGGTTGTGCTGGGAGAATGAGCAGCAGGCTGGATTCAGCTGCTGTTGGCACAGAGCTTGTTTATCTTGTTTGCTCTATCTCTCAGAGCATCATTCACTGCGTCCCCAGACACATGCTCTTAGGATAATTTCTGTAATTCTATTAGCTTTGAGGAAATAGGCTTTACTGTCCATTTGATTTTATTTCTTTTTTTTCTTTTTTTCAAGAGAACACAGGCGTTTGGTCTTGTAGCTTAACCCTTTATGGATACGTTTCCTTGTCCTTCCTTCTCATTTTGCCTTCGTGCTTTCCATGAATGTGCAGCATTATAACTGGGATTCTTGTTTGTTTCTTTTTAGCCCCAGCTAGAAATGAGCTAAAGCATCAAAGGCCAGATCACAGCCCATGTTCCCCAAAATTCAGTGTCTAAACCAGAAGAGTTTGGAAACGGCTGATCTCTAGAGGCAGTGAAGAGCCATTGTATCCAGAAATACAGGTATTTTGTTTATTTGCCAAATTGCTGAAATGTCCAGCTGTGTTTGAATGCACAGATATTTTGTCTCTAACATCACATGGTGGAGCTCCTGGTGAAACCAGCTCAGGTTTGTAGCAGGATTATTTTCTATGTCTGGGGAGAGTGATACGATAAGAACATGTCGCCATGACTGCATTGCAGAACTACACAGAAGAAGGATTCATACAGGCAAGGGGAAGTTCATCCACCTAAGAATATCTGCAACAGCAAACCGTGTTGCCTTTGCTTTTTAAAAACCCCATGTCATGTCGTGCCCCTACTTTGTGTGTTTCTCTGTTAAGATCTGTTAAGATCAAATCATGACCAACTCATGTGATGAGAAGATTATTCCCCCACTCTACTCTGCAGTACTGGTGCTTCTGCTATTAAAAGCTGTCTGTGCTGGTCTTCATTTGCTTTCGCTGTGGGAGTGCAGAGACAATCTCAGATACACCCACCTGGAGGCAGATGGCACACGTGTGCTGGTGCTGGCAGTGCTGCACATCCTGAGGGCATGCAGGATGTTGTATTCAAGGATTTGGTAATGGTAGGGAATGGAGATGGTATCACCAGAGCCTTTTCCTCACTAGAAGGGAAGCAAAGGTTGGTTGTATGCTTTCACTGAAAGAGTTTAATGGAATGATCATGTTCTTTTTTTTTTTTTTAATGGAAAACATTGCTGTAAAAACCTTGATTTGTTTGATGAACCTTGTAGTTGTGTTGGTCTGTAGTCTGACATTTTTAGTGCTTCCGTTTCTCTGGAAAATTTCTATTTTCAAAATTTTGTCAAGAAAACAAAATGGAAAACCCTGTGATTGTCTGACGAGTTAAGCTGGGATGGCTTTATTTTTACATAGGTGGAGCTGCTGAGAAGCAAATACAGCATTTCTGAGTTCCAAACTGCAATTTTATGAGGACAAAGTTCTTCAAAACTTTTATGACTTGGGTGAAATTTTCCATTCTGAAGTTTGCTGTGGATCAAACTAGTTCTGAAAAATTTACAGCAATGCAATCATTTTTCCAAAGCACAACTAGGGAAAAGTCTTTGCAAGAGATAATTAGTCTGAAGGAGCCAAATGTTGTCAGTTGTGGCTGCTTGTGAAGAGTAAGACTGACTGTGAAGCAGAAGTTCTGGGGGCCTCAATTCAATTCCATTCAGGCAGCATCAAATGGAGAAGTGGAGAAGATGGGACTGGGGTGGGGGGTAATGATTGGTAGGAGGCTGATGGCTGAGGGTGCAACAGAGGGAGAAGTGCTGTTGTGGGGAGAGGAGCACAGAAAAGGGCCTGTGCTTCAGGCATGTCCAGCAGCAGTTTGCTGGGTGGACTGCAGGGTTTGAGGCTGACTCACTGTGTCTCTGGTTGCCCCTCTCTCCTCGGGAACGTGCATTGGTTTGTGACAGCACTGAAGTCTGTGCTGCCTTGCTCAGATTTGCTGTTCAGGGTTCATAGAATCATGGAATGGCCTGGGTTGAAAAAGATCACAATATTCATTCAGTCCCAACCCCCTGCTGTGTGCAGGTCGCCAACCAGCAGACCAGGCTGCCCAGAGCCACATCCAGCCTGGCCTTGAATGCCTGCAGGGATGGGGCATCCACAGCCTCCTTGGGCAGCCTGTTTCACTGCCTCACCACCCTCTGGGTGAAAAACTTCCTCCTCATATCCAACTGAAACCTCCCCTGTCTCAGTTTAAGACCATTCCCCCTTGTCCTATCACTATCTACCTCACAAACAGCTGTTTCCCCTCCTGTTTATATGCTCCCTTCAAGTACTGGAAGGCCACAATGAGGTCTCCCTGGAGCCTTCTCTTCTCCATGCTTAACAAGCCCAGTTTCTTCAACCCTTCATCATAGGAGAGGTGCTGCAGCCCTCTGATCATTTTAGTGGCCCTCCTCTGGACCCACTGCAAGATCTCCACATCCTTGTTGGACGTGGAGGGTTGTTGTGGGATTTAAAGGAGCTCCACCTTAACACTGTCTGCACAGCACCGGCAGCTGCTCTAGCTTCCCTCTGGCTTCTCTGTAAGCAGAAAGAACTACCTAGCAGCTGGGGCATTGTGTGCACATGTGCTTATGATATTCTATGCCATGGCAGCTGCTGGCAGATAACGTAACACAGAGGAGTCTCCTGGGATAGGCAAAGTGCTCCTCCACTCCCTTGGGTTGCCTCTCAGCTCACAGCCACTGTTTCTGTTGCTGTAGCAAAACAGCTGTGCTATTTAGGTTTAAGATTAGACATTTGAGGTGAGAGAAGCAGATTTAACCCCTTTGAATTCCACACCTTCATCCAGGCCACATGGGGTACGTCCAGAGCAGTTAATGTCTGGGAGAGGACAAGAGCATTGCCACCCCTAGGGAGAGGTGGGGAGGGAACACATAAGTCAGCAAAGGTCCTGGAATTTCTCTGAAAGTTGGGAAGGTTTCTGTGACATGTGCATATCTGTGTCATTATCTGCAGTGATCTAGATAGGGACATCACTAAGTTCTACTGAAAGCAAATCAGGCCAGAGGTGTCTCCAGAAGCAGCCTGCTGAAGAAGACAGCTTTAAGTGTCTGCTAATCCTCCCCCAGGACAGGTGAGCCAGATCCGCTGCTCAAGTAGTGAACTTTAAATTTGTTCACCATTCATTTGTAGCTGTCAGTGCTTGTAACATTGGTGTGTGTCCTGATAACACCTCTAGGAGAAGCTGAGGTTGGTTTAGCTTGAAGAACATCAGGACTGTGCTTTGTGGAGGTGAAGAAGTAAGCTGACATGGTGTTTGGCGGGATGCTCAGGCCCTCAGCTGTGCTTTGCCAACACACTACCTGTGCTATGTGCTTTTATAGCACACGTGTTTGTTTAGTATGGTATTTAAACCTGCTTTAACATCTCCTCAGCAAAACATGCAGGTTTGTTCTCAGGTGTCTTAGCCACCTTTCACAGCTGGTTTGTCCCCAGGATGCTTTCTTCTACTGTTAGCCTTAGATTCATGAAGGTGTGTGTGAATGCCACTTAAAGCTGTTAAAAGTTGTAGGAACATCTCAGGACTATGTATAAAGGAGAATTTTTGCATTTTATTCACATTTTGTCACCGAACAGAGCGTATAAATGTTAATATTACATATTGATTTGGCCTCTGTTGATTAACCTACTAGCAGGGACAGCACAATGAGAAACCCGAAGTATGGCTCCGTTTCTCAGTTCCGTCTTAAATATCACAGTCAACACAGCTAAACAATGATTCCATCCACCAAGCTCTGTATAAATCAGACACAAATCATTCTGATGCATTTGAGGAAATAAAAGCCTTCTTTGTAGTATGGAAACTGCAGTGTTCTAAGGAAAGAAAATGGCTTTCCTGAGGCAATGTATATAAAACACCCTTTTAATAAATAATCCTTGTGAGCCAAGCTGGCATATTATACAGGAAATGTCTTTCTCTAATATTCAGGCTTCAGAGAGTTGAAAAAAGAGCCATGAGATCACCAGAAGTACTGAACTCATTGGGAAAAATGATTCTTTTTTTTTTTCTTATGTATTTTTTCCTATCAAAATAATGTTGCTGCTTTCCACATCCCTACCGTAAATCCGCTGGGTGAGCAACTCGTCTGACATCTCTCTGGATTTAGCAGAGAGAAACTGAGAGCACGACGAGACCCAGCGTCTATGTAGGCATTGGCAGTTTTAGATAAGAGCTAAGGGTTCGTGGCAGCGATGTGGTTTTGAAAGAGCGGCTGCAGAAATAATCCAACAGTCCCCAGAACACAAACGAGGACAAATATCCAGAGAAACAGCCTGTCCACTACCATGGCAACATACTTCCAGTCTTCAATGACCTGGAAAAAAAAGCCAGTTAAAGATATTAGCAATTTGTCATGTTATTTTGCTCTTCCTCTTGCTGATGCAGTCTTTGTTTTTGAAAATAAAAGGAAACAAACCTCAAGGTCCAGGGAACAAAATGACTTTAGACTTGGGAAGGAATTTTTCTCCTGCTGCCATTCCCAGCAGTGGAGAAAAAATACTGTAAATATTTCTGAGCTGTCTTTGATGTGTGAGGTGCAGGGCATGGCTGCCTGGTGTTCCGGAAGGACCTACGGTGTAATCCAATTGAGGATTTTTTTCTTTAATTTTAATTTGCAGATGCTATTAATCTCTTTGGACAAAGAGAAAGAGTAATTATTGCTGTTAAACAAGGTTAGCCTCTGACTTTTCTTACCGGCAGTCTTCTTATCAAGAGACTTAATGAATATTAATACTGTTGCTTTTATTAAAATCCCCTCGGCTTTACATGTGTTGTGTGTGGAACAGATAAAATAAGGCTAGTCTTGGATTCTGTTCTCAAACTGAAGTGACTTTCTGGCTTTCATTGCAAAGGATGAATATATCAATCTTCGTTTGCATCTCGAGAATGATTATTTTTCCTCTGTCATTGATCCTCACTAAACGTGGGACATTGTCACCCCAGTGACTTCACCATGCTTGTCATTTATCTTGTCTCTTAGATTAGAACATGACACATTTTTCCTTCAGCACACACTTCTAATTCCCTCTGCTGCTAATGGCAATTTTGCACTTCTGAAATGAGGCTGTATTAAATGCACACTAACAGTTACCAGACCGTGATCGTGAAGATAGCAGAAATTAAGGTTATGAATCCATAAAACAGTAATATGTGGTATCAGAGGACCCTGTGTGAAAAGCATTCTATTCATTTTTAATGCATGAAATACCCTTGAAAGTTGCTCTTAGTCTCAGTTGGATCTTTTAAAATGCAACATATTCTTGCAAGGATTTCTGAGCTATTAGAAAACTTTTTGCCTGCTCTGTGAAGTGTGCTTCTTTTCAGTCAGTCTCAGTGCGTGTAGGTCGTGTTGAATGTTACCATCTGATCTTCATTTATATTGACAGTAATTTCAGTTAATAGAAAACATGAACTACTCAGCAGCATGTTCCTAAGGGACTTCTGCAGTATCAGAAGCCAGGCTTCATTTAGTCTGCTTGGCAGGAATGAAGAACTTACAGTCCTACTGGGATCTGGGACTGAGCAGGATGACAGAGGGGATGCTTGGCAATTTTCCTTAACTGTGATCTAAACAAAACTCTGAACCACCTGAGTATTTCTGAGCATTATCTGTGGTGTTTGCACCAGCTGTCTTGTGCTGCCTAGTAGCTCGGGTAGGGCATGTGAACAGGACAGCAGCAGCACTGCTTACGTGTGCCCTGAATGCTGTCCTTCTCATAGCCAATGACAAGTGTGATTTAACTCAAATGGAAGAAGTATCATTTCTGCTGGCATTAGGATCTTGATTCTACCCATCGTGTTTGCTGTAGCAGAGCAGCTTAATAGCAGCTTGTCTTGCTGAATCAGAGACAGAGATCTTCAGGTGTTCTCAAAGGTTGAGCTGCAGATACACTGGTTAATGTGAGTTGATGTGTTGCAGTCTGTCTAAATATGATGGGGAAAAATATTTTCAAATAGAGTTCTCTCTGACCTGGCAGTCAGCATTACTGTTTTCTCTGCCAAACACTACCTGAAGGTGACAAGACAGCTTTTTCAAGGGTGTTTCCTGACTTACTGATCAGCGTTCTCTTTTTGTGTGGTCGTAGTAATTTACCAAATTCATTTTTTTTAACCCTTAGCTTCAAGGTAGCTAGAGAGTGCAAATCTCCTTCCTGGAGGAAAGCATGCTACAGAGGAGGATGAGGGAAGAAGTTTGGAGGTTTACTTACACTCTGGTCATTGTCATCACTTTTCATGTGCTCTGCTATAAAGCTGACTCCATCAATTGCTTCTTGGACTTCGGGAGAAAATTTTGTGCCTGTTCTTAACCTAAAATCTCGATGGCTGCTGACATTGTCAAGAGTGTCAGTGATTTTCATGTCGTACTTTTTGGCAGAGGCTGTGTTCACAAAGTAAGTCGAGTTCTTGTAGAAGTCAGCTGTGTCCATGCAGAGATTCTCTGCTCTTGTCTTTTTGCAGTTGCACGGCTTTTGCCGTGGCGAATTATTTTCTGGACGCTTCATGAACAGGTAGGCTGGGAGTCTTTCAAGGAAAACCAGCTTTACCCACGGAGGCATGGTGTGAGTGCTTGGAGATCTGTGGTGGACATTGAGTACGCAGACACTGGTAACTATGGAGAAGGTCACCAGTACCATTGTAAACATGAGATACTTCCCGATCAGTGGAACATCTAGAGATGTTGGAGGAACAATTTTGGAGATCAGCAGTAAGAACACAGTCAAAGCAAGCAACACAGATATGCATAAGGTCATTTTTTCGCCGCAGTCTGAAGGCAAGTAGAACACCAGGATGGCTAAGGATGTAATTAGCACACAAGGAATTATAAGATTGATGGTATAAAAAAGAGGTTTCCTTTTAATAATGAAGTCATACGTCACATCAACATAATTGGGATCCAAAGGATTTACAGTTCTTCTTCCTGGGAGTGCTACAATGTCCCATTCTCCACTTGGTGTAAAGTCATCCATGCTTGCCATGGAAGTTTTAAGTACCATATCAATTTCTGTATGATCATACGTCCAAGACCGGAACTTTAAGGTGCAGTTTTGTTGATCAAATGGGAAATGCTTAACCTCAATCTTGCAGGCACTCTTGTAAATTGCTGGAGGCAACCAGCGAATGCTTCCATTATTCTGTACAATTGCATTTGTGTATAGTGAAACTTCATATGTACCATCCGCACTGATGAAAGAAACAGGGCAGAAACAGGAGAGAACACCAGCAAACATTAAGAGGAAAAGTTAAAGACAGAAAAACTTTGTCAGTTTTTGCCTTGTGGGCCTCAGCTGTAGGAGTTAAAGCTTAGTAAGGTTTCAGTATTGAATTCTACATTGTAGGCAGCTATATAATTTAACAGGGAGATTAATGTATGCATTTCTCCCAGACAGAGAACTGATATTTTGTCCAGTAGTTACAGTAAACAATTTTTATAAAATGATTATTAAATAAAAAAAAGTGCACATTTTATCCAAAGAACTCAAAGCATGTTGAAATATTTCTTAAAGTAATTAAGGCTTATAGCATCTTTCAAAGCTGGGTAAAAATGGGATCATTCAGCATGAAAATGGAGGTACCTTTGATTAGGAACAGCCACAGCCAGGAGCACACAGCAACACTCCCAAATGACTTAGACAAGGAAATAGGGATGAGCAGTTAGCTGGAGATGCAGGGAGAGTGCAGGCAGAGAAAATGTAATTATGTGGTTTATAATTTATCACATCATTCCAGTTAATGTTTGCGTGTTACAAAACCAGGACAGACAAGCCACGGAGTTCTTAATGCCCACAAATGATCTTGGCTTTGTATCTCCTCCGAATGCTGCACTTCCCCAGGAGAGTCTCCTGTGTTATGATGGGCCTTTTAGTTCAGGGAGAGGATCGTTGTCACTCAGCATTCAGAGTGGTTTCCTGTCCACTATTTCTGGGCAAGCAACGTGGGGGTTTTTAACCCACCAAGCGTCCCCAGGCAGTAACTCAAAGTGGTCAGTTGCTGAGGAATATTCTTGAAATCTAATGTTTCTGAGCACGTTCAGTGTATTGTCCCAGATGTGATGTGCAACACCTTTCACACTCAGCCAATCTTACTACTCAAGGAAATTATTGCAGCAGGGAGGAGCAGCTGTCAGTGACTCTTCTTGACATTTGAGGAAATGCAACTGCTTTTATTGACACTGGGTTAGCACTGTTAGACTGCAAAAATGAGTCTAGACGAGATACATCCCATCTCTTTTTGATAAACAAATACAGTTGTAAAGAAATGTGTGTAACCTAGAGATAATATGTAAATAAATGTATATAATCTAGAGACAACGTGTTGAGTGTAAAAAATGAAAGAGAAAAATCAAAGCATAAACCAGTGAATATCAACTGGCTGTGATTAACTAGGGGCCTTTACTGCAGTGGGACATCTGCTCCTTCGAAGTTAATAAAACAGTGTCATTAAAATAGCTGTTTTGGTGCTAAGGCTGACCTTTCTAAGCAAGGAATTACTACAAGCATCCAAGGCTGGGCACCTGTGTTGCTGCTCTCCACATCAGTTACGTTTGGCTGTGCAAAGGCTTCCTGCTGCTGGTGAGACCATGGTGGCTGGTTCAGTAGGCAGTGGAACAACCAGACGCGGAAGCAAATGGCAACAGTGCTAGGAGTCTTTAGTTTTCTGCCATTCTGTGCGTTGTTGTTTGTCTGTTTTGGTGTTGTTTGTTTGTTTTTAGTAAATAAACGATATCTTTCTGGCATACTCTGTCTCCCTGACTTAGATTTATAGTTAAGGCATATGACACAGTGGGTAGACTTCTGGGCTGACAGTATGTGTGAACTTTTGCTGGCTGCCCTTGGCTCTGTGTCTGATGCCTATGAAACATTGCTTCTGCAGGAGAAAGTTGTAGGAAGGAGATGATCCTTCATCTAAGGTTTAATTTGAATCTTTGTACTGCTGTAAAAGTTTTGATATGGGGAGGCTTTCGCTTGTTTCTGTGCATTTAGGAAGCTTTCAAAAAGTGTTCCTTGCCCCTACAATCCATTAAGCATTACCATCTGGGGAATACGGAAGAAAGAAGCCAGAGGGCAGTGTCACAATTCAGCAGAACAAGATTTGAGCAGGCAGAATACATCCTAATCCACTGGCTGAATTATTTTGTGACTAACGCAGTAGTTTTGGGTATTTAAATATTTCTCTAAGCTCATCTCCAGCAGTAGGATTCCAGGGACTTAATTCAGATATATATAAACTTCCTACATTTCCCATCTGTACATGTTAGTAAACCATTATGTATTCTTGAATTCATTGGTTTTCAAAAGTATCATGACATTGCATTATACATTTCAGTTATTGTGTGGTTTTGCTGCTTGTTTGTTTTTCTTAAAGACTTGATATCATTTACTTCAGGGATCTGCTAGAGACTTAAACCAAACAGAGATAAAAATTGGCAGTTATTTGTTGTGGAAAAGCAGTATTGGACTATTCTACCAAGCTTTTCTTTTTCTTAGTGCTGTGAAGCAACAGGGTCAAATGTTGACAGATTCATGATATGTTCTTATAATCGATTTTGGAATCGATTTTTGAATGCTTTATGAAAACAGAACATAATCTGGTTTTGAAAAGGAATGTTAACTGGCAGAATTCTGATGCCTGTGACTTTGTAACAGGTTTATGACCTGGAGACTGTGTTGAAAGGACAAAAAAAGAAGTAGGAGGCAAAAATGTAGCCGAGTGCCTAAAGTATGGGATAGAAATGCCTTTCTGGAAACGTGGTCAGTGTGCAGCTGTGCTTGTATTAATAGCTCATGCTTGCCATGTAATCTAATCTGATAAAGACTTGTGTCTCGGCTGTCAGCCTCCTCATGGATGTTCTGCTGTTGTAACAACCCATGCTGCAGACATGGCCCAGGTCTGCTGGAATCTCTAAGACTTTGTTTTGCTGAAGCCTTGTAGGCAAACACCTCTGTCAGATATACTGGATACTAGCTATAAGTTACCAAATTTAGCTTTGGAATTTGATAAGACCTATTTCATTGGTTCTGATGCTTTTTTTCTTGATACACGATTATGATTTTGTTTGCTGTCTGCATAAACTATGGATGTTCTACTTACTTATTGTAAAGCACAATGTCTGGCAGCCAGATATGTTTTGCAGGTATTCTCAGCATATTTATTCCTTCGTAGTCAGAAGGCTTCCAAGCCAAACGATAATCAATCCACTCCTAAGAGAGGAATTGTACAGTTGTGATGGGGGTATCCAGACCAGACAACAAAACAATCACTATGATGGAGTGAAAGCAGTTGTGTTTGTGGATTGCAAGAGCATGCTTCTGTGGGTTTTATTACCTGGTTTAACCAGACATTTGTAGTCATGATCTGCTCTCGTTCGTTCTGCAGGGGAAGACAGAGAGAAAAGTTGTTCAATATTATTGCAGCAGTGTACTGTCAGTAACTCTCCATGTATATGGCTCCAAGTGGCTTTTGACAAAAACAGTTGTGACTGGTGTGAATGTTGCTACTTGGGAACAATTTCTCCCCACAAGCTGATTTATTTATTTATTTATTTCCCCCTGAGGATTTGATTTGAAACAGAAGGCACACTTTGGCCACCAGGAGCCCAATAATTTGTTTAAAGTTTATGTAAGGTTTGTCGTGAAAGCTCTTGGCTGGCAGGCTCTGCTTCATGGAACTGGCAGAAGTTTCTCTGCTGCAGATCTGTGCATCTGGGGTTCTACTGAATGAACAAGATAGGAGATCAGAGAATTGGGAAGATTTCTACAGAAAAAGAAAATACTTCTTTGCTGCTGAAGATGCTTGGTATTCTTAGAGCCCATAAGACCATTTATTTTTGCCTTCTGCCTGAAGAGTGAAGGCACAGGGAGACAGGGACTGAACTGCATCATTCTTGATCCCTGCCCATGCAGAGAACCAGCTGTCTGCATCTTTTTCACCCAGGAAAGAGCAGCAGAGCTGAAAGCCCCAGTTCATGAAATCATTCCCTCTTATGTGCTAGATTTTATTCACGCTGCTGTTAGTGGCTAAACCTGACTTGGCATCAACAGTCCTTGGAAGGACTGTTAAACACATGTTAACTTGGAGTAAAAATGTCTTTCAGACCCTCTACAGTCAATTTTATTGAAGATGGGGAGTTGCTTACATGAGAATTGATTTAATGGTTTATGATTGATATTTAGTGATTGATTTAAGCTATTCCAGACAGAACTAGCGTGTCTTTCTCTTGGTAACATTTCACTGTGCTTTGCTGATATACTGTGGGATCTTAAGCTCTCTTCCTGGCTTGTTTTCATACCAGTAAACCACATTTTGCATTTTGCAAAAAAAATGGCTTAGTATTACATACACAGTACAGAATAGATCCTGACCTAGTGTAACTTCTGTCAGCTGCACAGAGGTAATAGCATGATTTTGATTTTTGATCAGTGGGATTTTACTGGATGAAGATCTGGCTCTGTCCTTATTGCTTAGGCATAGACTGATCTTGCTGTTGTAGATGCATTCTGGAGTAAAACCAGTAAATTGCATGTATGGGCCCTGCCTACCAAATATTATGTAAATTATAAAATAATAGGGACAGGTAACAACAGTCTGACTTTTACTTATATGCTGTGCAGACAGTAATGAGTTAAAAAGGAACAGCTTAATTTGAGCTTACCACACTGATGAGCTGTGCCAGGGAAACCTGCAGTTCTATAGATACCAACTGGGATGAGTTGACAGCTGGGCGAATTAACTTGTTGTACCTGTCAGGACTCAGTAGGTGGTTCATTAGCTTCTCCTCAGCATCTGCTGCAGTGCTTCCTGTAAGACATCAGATATGGGGTTACAGAAGGGACACCAAGGGCCAAGCTGTGGCGATCACAGAATTCCTATGCATCACATCATTTTCATGAAGTAATGAGGGCCTTTGGTTTCTTAAAGATTGTTGTAGGCTTGCATGAACAGAAGGAATGGTGCTTGCACCAACATCCTGCTGAAGTGGGCTGTCTGTCACAGAGCACAGATTAAAGCAGGTAACTCAGGGCGCTGTGGGTTTCTTTGTACAGAATGAGGTAAAGCTCAGATTGACAAGAACTTTTGGGAACTCAGTTGCAAAGCGGAAGCAAACCCACGCTCTTATCAGCAGAGAAAGTGTGTTTCAAAGATCTCAGTGAAGGGAGTCTGGGTGTGACTTCGCTCTTCATTGTCATAGGAGGCAGAAAAATGATTGCAGTCACACTTAGAAACTGAAAGAGCGATCAAGGTGAGCTGCAGAAGTCACAGTGATAGCATGCTCTTTGGTAGGCTGCAATGTTTCTGTTTCACAATGATTTTGTATGGAAATCAGAAGTGCTAATCTAAGCCTTACTTCATGTGGGGAAAAAAAACCCTGATTTGATTTGGACTAGCAGAAATATTTCAATCTTAGACAGTCGAGGCTGGAGTTCTGTAACTGCAAAATACAGGATCAGCAAGCTGCTATCAAACCAACCTGAACATTCTGCATGGAACAGAAGGACCTATGGCACAACTCCAGAGGTAAATGCATCTGTTCCATGTTCTTACTTGTGCTTTTTGATGACACTTTTCAAACCTCTGTTGGCCACATAATAATTGTGATGCCTATGGTCCTGGTGACGTGCTGCTGACTGTACTGACCCCTTGCAGGGGAGCAGTTCTGTGTATGTAGAGTAATTCTGTGTTGTGTGATACACTTGACAGGGATGGACACAGGTGTTTCTGAGAACAGATTGTAGTCCAGTGAATGGATTGATTCTTCAGTAGGAAAGGGTACCGAGCTACCCCAAAAGTGCAGAAATGAGAATAGTGTCTCTGCAGCATATTTGCTTAATTGTTCTCCAGAGTGGTTCCACTCAGTAAAACACCACATACAAGTGTTTTAAATTTACTGTGCTTTTTATGCTGTAGCATATCCATCCATGAGATCCAGAGAAAGGCAGATGTAGAAAGACCAGAAAGGTGTATGTAAGCAGCCAAGGTCTATGTGCAATTTAATGTCTAGTTTCCACGTGAACTGGGCTCCAGGCTACTGGAGAGACACAAATCCCTCTTGAAATTTGGTACTTTTGGATTCCACTCAGATTAATAAATACTACAAGAACTTCTTGTTTATGATCCAGTAAGCAAGCAGAGGGACATGGAAGAGAGCTTTGTCAAACAGATCTTTTATTTTTCTACGAGCTGCTTTTTCACTCGAGCTCTGGGGACAGGAAGAGATAATCACCAGGCTCGTTTTAATTCTGATAAAACCAGTATGTGCTATGGCACAAACAATTGTGCCACACGTGCTTAACCATAACAGCGTCCTTCAGAGCAGGCTTCTCAAGTACATCCCAAGCCATCTTGAAGAATACCAGTGTTGTGTTGGTTTGTTTTCTGATTACACTTGCTTTGCACTTGTTTCCAAGTCATTATAAAAGCCCTTGTACCATGTAATATTTTAATATTATGTTCGTTCTCAGTGTAAGCCTCCCTAATCAAAGGCTTATCAAGCTAGAGCTATGCTGATCCTCGCTAAGCTTCAGATTCTGTTGGTTTTTGGTTTTTTTTTCCTTGTGTTTTGCAATTAAGATGGAGCTAAATTTGATACTATGTAGAAAGTGGGACTGCACCCCAGGAATGGATCGTTTTGTGTTTAGAAGGCTAGCTGAAAAGCCTTGTGGTAGCTACAGAGAGAATCTTGGTTACTTATTTTTGTTGTTTGTGGTCTCTTTTCAACAAAAATCGTGCTGCTGCATATCTAACTGATATAAGCAGACTGCTGCAGTTCAAATATAAGTAGATTGTCGTTTGGTTTGTTTCATACAGTGCTCACTGAGTGCTGCTAGCAAAGAGTGAATTCTTGTTTGAATTGTTTTCACTGTCAATAAACTGTGCAGATGAATAATTGCCACGACATATTATAAAAATGGTTTGTTAAATAATGAATACCTTGGAGATACTCCTCTCTGTTCTTAGGGAAGGGGCTCCCACAGTGAGGGATTATTCTATTCAGAACTGCCACCTCATCCCAGCCGTTCCATAACTTAATCATCAAGAATAAATATCAAAAGGGCTACTTTGATATTTCAATTCGGTGCTTATATCCAATACCACTAGGTGTCAGCAATGCACTGCTTTAAAGGCTGCCAGGTCCAATCTCCTGTAAATAAAGTATAAAAACGAATGGTTCTAGAACCATTTTTATCATCTATTTTCCATTACCAATATTGTTGTAACCAGATGTCACCTAATGAAAACAAAATTACCGGTCATTCAAGTTTGTCCTTTGTGCATTTCATGATGTTCATGACTGCACTGGAATACTTCTGTTTTTCTGCTTAGTTGGAAAAAATGCAAGTGCACTTTTTTCTGCTCATTAATTCTTTTTTTTTTTTTTCTTCCCAAAGTAGCAGTCATCAACAGAAATGTTACAGGGAGCAAATGATGCTTTTGGACAGATGATCTTAGCAAGACTGATGAAGCAGCCTTCATCTGGGGGTAGACTGTATTTGTGTACTGGAAGCAGTAATTGGGAAAAAGTACCAGAGTGCATCCTGAGCTAAAGAAATTGTAGCCTCACTGAACATGCTGCACATCTGTTCCGTGTCAAGGAGAGCCCATTGCCTATAGCATGCAGTGCAGATTCTGCAGTAAGTTTGTATTCTGTGTGGGAGTTATGACCATTAAAAAAATTGCTCCAGGATGCTTCTAGTTTCCCAATAGAAGAAACAAAAACAGATTTGATTCATTACCCAGTGTAATTTTTACCATTTACATGGTCTAATTTATATACAAAACATGAAATATCTCTTCAGGCTGTGCTCCATTGCTTATTTTCACAGTGGCATTGCAAATATGTTAAGTGTGAATAGAACAGAACATGGAGCAATGTTGATAGATACAGGCATGTGCACAGTTATCACTGTCTAAATGGTAACATTTAACATAAGCCATGTTTCCCCATATCCCTGACCAGACATTTTAATAACTGTCGAAATAATATTTGCTTAGAAATAATACCTTGTACAACAGACTGTCATTTTTGTTCTTTCCTCTATCACATATGATTTATGCCAACAGTGGTGACGTACCAAATTGCCATCTGTAATTAGAAAATAGCAAGTGGGATGCAGCAACAAGATAACATTTATCTTCTCTGAAATCACTTAATGATGTTGTTGCTTTTCAGTGGACTCGAGTAAAAAGGTTAATATAGTGTCTTACAGTATTGTGCACTGATTTGGAATGCTTATTGTTCCAATGGAAATAGCAGTGAATTCATTTTATTGTAAAGACTATTTTAATTTTCCCACTGCAATTAATGGGAATAAAAAGGAAATGCTAATGAGTTTAAAAATATGTAATCTAAGGTAGGCCCTCGCTCTGGCTCCATAGCAGATGTTTACAGAAGTTGCCTTTCAGTAACTGAAGAAGGAAAAACATGGGTCGAATTGGTAAATATGAGAAAGATGTGATTTTGTCCTAATTCAGTTTCGGTTTCGCTCCAGACACTTCAGTGGAGTCGCCCTGTGGAAGATGCTCCCATGGTAAATGTTCTGTGCTGCTTCTGAGCTGTGCGTGTTGGCTTAAACAAATGCAAGAAATGCTGATGGGATAAAAAAAACTGCTCTTAATAGACATTTACATTTTTTAACATGTATTTATATATCACAACTTGATTTAATCACTAGTTACATACAAATCAAACAATTAGGAAGTAAGAACTTAGCAAAATACATGAACTTGGGTGAATAATTGTAGAGAAGATCTGTCTCATGGCTTATGTCTCAGTTCCATTTTTATTTTTTCTCTGTCACTACTTGCTTTTCCTGTCACAGATGATCGTGGAAGAATTGAAAGGAGCATTCTTTAGTGATTATCCCTGCAATCTCCTACTGTCATTTTATCTCCAACTTACTGTCTACATATCCACAACAGTGGATTTGCTGCTATCTAATGTGCCAGAAACAACACTAAACAATATATTTCATGCATCTTCTTAAAGTCTGCAAGCTTCTGAAGTGGTAGAAATGGCTTGAGAGCTTATATCACTGTCCTACCTCCCAGCCACAAAAGCTATCACTGCTCTGCAAACTGTATGTGAAAGAAAAGATCACTTACCGTTGAAATAGAAGGAGCCCACTACAAAGAGAAAGAGAGTGTACGTATTCCTCATGGCAATAACAGGAAGAGGTGGTTACTGCTCTTCAATTAAGACAGCTGGCAGTAGGCTCTGTTGTCAGGGTTGCACAAGCAAGAGATGTAAAAGCAATCCTGAATCTTGGAGGTATTAAATCCCTGGAAAGAGGCAGACAGTAGGACCTGGCAGAAGCATTCTGCAAAGTGGAGTTTTCATAAGCATCGTGGTCCCTCCCCCTTTGCAGCTGTTTAAAGAGCTTTGTGTAGAGGAAAAGCACATAAGAAGAGGGAACGTAATGTGATAATGTTGAATGAGAGGAAATGAAAGAGCAAGCTAAGGAACACGATCCGCAGAACAAAACTGCTTAATCTGTGCTACTAGATAACATTTAGAAGGCTTTCTGGTTAATAAATGCAGGAGTTGGGAGCAGCAGCGTGAGAAGAGCTGGATATAACTTTGTGCTGTAGGACCTGTTAGTAAAAGTCACGTGAATAAATTCTAGACCTAGCAGAGGTCATCTTCTACGTCAAGAGAAAAGCTTGATTGCCTGACTACAACACTCTGAGACCCACACGTATGGTCCTATGAACCAGAACTCCAAAAGGCTTTTTGAGAGCAGCAGAAGAGAGAGGGGGAATTCGTTGTCAGCAGCATTTGGCTGGATTTCGTAAGAACATAAATGCAGCCTGCTGATAAATGGCTGTAGCCGTGAAGATTCTCCAAAGGAATGATAGGGGAATTCTGTGGAAGTTGTCATTTACAGCTGAGGAGTTCAGCAGAGTGTACAGTATTGTGTGTTTTGAAACTTGCCATGGAAATATACGTGGAAGGAAGGAGAAAAAAGAACTTACCTGTCCTTTGCAAGCACCGTAGGACAGACTGAAGCTTCTTCATAGAAAATAGATGTTAATCCTGTAATTACTATTTTATGTCCATACTGAGATTCCTCTCTGCTTAAGGTAATTGCAGTTCTGCTCTCATCCCACCTCCCAGCAGTCAGACTCCCAGTGGAGACATTCCTGTTTTACCAGCACAACCTTTGTATGCACTAGGCACGTAATCTTTACTTCTGCATATAGCACAGTTGCTGCGGAACTGCAGCTTTTTGGAGAAGGTCAGCTGCTGCTGTTTTAAGGCAAACTCTCAGTGTTGCTTTGAGCAATTATTTACCTTCCCCCTCAGCACTTTAGCCACCTTTTTTCCACTAAATAGGCCAGTATGTTCTTCTGCTGTCTTTAAAGGAGCTACTGTGAACCTTACCCAATTCTTTGTTGTTGCTGTAATCGTGCTATCTACAACTATGTTACATCCCTGAGCAGTTCATCAGTTTTTTTAGGCTCATTTAAGTAGGTGGGGAGGATGAGTTCAGTGCAAAGGATAGAAAAGCACTCACTGCATGCATTTCTACTTCTTTAAAACAAGGTGGTTTGAGTCAGTTTTGATGAAGTATCTTGAACTGCCTTGAACTTGCCTTCCCTTACTCTGAAAACTCAAGCTATTTTAGCTATACCACGTCCTCCACTGAGGCTTCTCAGTAGTTCTTCAAAAAACTTGCAACCTTCTATCATGAGATGTATGACTTGTTCCTTCTCACCTTCGCCACCCTCCTTTACTGTAGCACCCTCAGTTATAATTTCCCAAACTTTACATGTCATTTTAACTGGTAAGTGCCTTTGATTTCTTCTAACTACAGCTTGCTGTTGCCTCTTCACTAGCCATACGAACATAAATGTGCCATTGCTGCTCACCTTAAAGATTAGGTTCAGCCTGGTATCAGAGGTGCCCTGTGCTAGCTCCTGCATGTTATTGCATGTTATATCTTTGTGCTTCTATTACTGCCTTTTCTCTCTTATTCACTTTGTGTTAGCTGGAGTTGACTGACGTGTGAGGTTAGAATTCTTCCTTCAGAGTAGTGTGGGAACTGACTGGGGATGAGAACAAACAGCACAGTCACTGTGAGGACAGTGCTTGGGTGAAAAAAGCCAGTGGAATCCCAGTAACTGCATGTAAATGGACTAACTGTGGTAAAAATACAAGCTGGAATAAAGCAGAGGAGTAATAAAGCACATGTAGAAATTGAGCTTTCCCAGAGAAAATGACTCTCTTTTAACAGTCAAAACTTTAGTATGTCCCAAGCAAAACATTTACACTGAACCCCCTTATTGCTTATTGCTCCTCACCACTGCGTCCTTGGCTTGTACCCTGGCTGAGACCTGTGTCATCAGACCTCTTGCACTCTTGTGTTTGCTAGACAATGCTATCTTCCATCACGTATGGAGAACTGCTCTCAAGTAGCTGCTCCTTCAGTTATTAAGAGTATTGTTGAGTAAATACCGGTCTGCTGGGGAAGAAAGACTGCATCTGTTTCTCTATTTTTACTTTCTGATATATGACCTATTTCTCCTCAAAGGCAAATCTTCCATCTGCCAACCTGGACTCTATGCTTCAGCAGCAGTCACAGGAGTAACAGATGTATGGACCCTGAAGCCATTGAGCTTGCACCATCTACACTGCTTGATGCTTAAGAATTGAATGGCAGCTCAAGGTAGAACAAAACTGACTAGGATATATTCATTCAGAGAGGAAATACTGGAGCTTCCAAAGCAAAAGCAGCATGATTTGCAGTTTTTCACTGCAGTGAGACAGGTCCAGATATAGGGATATGACTGGGAAAAACAACAGCACAAAAAAAATTTCAAGGTGAAAGGCCACAATTAGTTTCTAGCAGTTATCATGTATAAATGAATTTCAAGGCTTAATTCATGCTGAACTGAATCAAAAAGGGACTTCAGATCATCGTGTAAAACACTGGCATTACAGAACACATGAGATTGACTCAGATTTGTGCTTGCAGAATAGCTGTCACTTTCTGCTTGAAAGTTACTGCAGAAAATGTCAACTAATGGCAAATTCTGTATTTCTAGCATCTTACATCTGAATGAACTTCAGTGATATCTGCCAAGGTCCTGGCTCATCTCATCAGCATCAAGGCAGACTTGGCATTCTGATCAGCTGAAAGATTGAACTTCTTACAAGCAAGTTCTGTAAATATCCACTGTGTTCCCCTTGCAGGTGAAATCATGCTTTTGCCCAATCAGTGCTTTCTAAATGACTTCACTAGAACAGATGTACTAAGACTAACATTCTGCATTTTTAAATATTTTTTTTCCCTATTAGCACACATACAGTTCTGTTAGAGATGAGATTACACCAAATCAGTACTTCAGCCATTCTAGTGCTGATTTTGGGGGGAAAAGTTGTACTGCTGTAGCCTCATTAAATCAGGTCATACTACAGCATTGCTAAGTCTACCAAGCAAAACAAAACTGGCACTGCAGTTGGATGACCCTAGCTGTGTCCTCATGTCCTCATATCAGACAGTTACTGTTAGGATGAAGGGGGAAGGGCATGGATGGATGGATGGATGTAACATGTTTGGTATGTTGTCATCTATTTTGTGTTTATTTTTGGAATTTACTGAGGGGTTTTTTATTTGTTTGTTTGTTTGTTTGTTTGTTTGTAAGGGTTGGTAGATGCATTGGATGGGATAGTGAGTTTTCATCCAGAGATAAAATAAACCATACATTGGTGGCCTGTGTGTGAAATGAGTTCATGAAGTCCACTTCCTACTGCATCAGTGTTAATATTTGCTTTCCAAATGGAGTCTGAACAACATGGATGAGAATTTGCAATAAGCTGTCTTCAGAAAGAGTACAATTCCATCCCACTTCTGCAAATGATGGTACAAGACAGGGCTGTGGTAGCTATCAAATTATCAGATAACACTCCTTTAAGGTTTTGGACAGTGGTGATACTGTATATAGATGCCTAATACGTCATCATGTTATTATCTGCCCCAAGCCCTCTCTGGGTCATTGAAGTGTTCCCCTGGATGTTCCACAATATCCTTTTTGTGAAACTTAGAAAGTGTGGGATTGATGAGTGGATGTTGAGGTGGATTGAGAACTGGCTGACTGTCAGAGCCCAGAGAGTTGTCCTCAGTGGTGCATAATGGAGGATCTGATTAATATCTAAAGGGAGGTGAGAGGCAAATGGATGAGGCCAGGCTCTTCTTAGTGGTGCACAGTGATAGAACAAGGAGCAATGGCCTAAATCTTGAACATAGGAAGTTCCATACAAATGTGCAGAAGAACAACTTTTTGGTAAGGATGACAGAGCACTGGAACAGGCTGCCCAGAGAGGTGCTGGAATCTCCTTCTATGGAGATATGCAAGACCCAGCTGGACGCCGACCTGTGCAACCTGCTGTAGGGAGCTGCTTTAGCAGGGGGGTTGGATTCAATGACCTCTTCAGTTCCCTTCCAAACCCTGCAATTCTGTGATTCTGTGATTCCAGAGAATTACCAGTAATAACGCTGTGATAATAACACAAATGATGCACATGAATGACTCCATAGAAATAGAAGTGGTTCTGGCTCTCATTGTCAAAAGGATTAAGGATCAATGAAAAAGCCACCTTTTGACCTTGTAATATGTCTGATGGTAGATAAAACCGCTCATGGAAAAAAATGTTTCCTTTCCCGGTTGATTTTTTTCTAGCTATGATTCTGTATGTTTTGTGAACTAGCAGGTGAGTTTTATTTGTACTTTCTTTGAGGCAGTAAAGCATCTGACACATAATATTGTCAGCATCATTGACCTTAAAAACTGCACAAATGTTGACAGTTCCAGAGTGTTTTCTAAAGCACTGCAGAAGCAGCAGCTGAGGGTGTGTTACGCTGTTTTGGAGATGATACTTTTATTTTTATCAATCTTTTTTGCATCCTCCTATATGCTTTGAGATTCATTGCAGCCTAGCCTGTTACTCACACATACAGTCCAACATTTCAGTTCTGTGCTGACCAGCATCAGTATAGTAATAAGCTATTTTAATGATGTCTAAGTGTATTCACTGAAAGCCTAATTATTCAAGTAAACATTTCTTCAAGTATTGCTGCTTGAGATACATCTGAGATGTACTTTTGTTGGTATTCAGGAGATTTGAGGCTGGAAAGATCTAGTGTTTTATTGAAAAGGAACAATCTCCTGAGTACATCAGCTAAGACACGGCTGAGTAGGTTCAGGAGCTGGAAAAGGTTTGATGAAATGTTTGAGGATAGCCTGAATATTTAGCCTGCTAGCTCTCCTGTTTTGGGACAACATGGTGGAGTCTACTATCAGTTATTTGGTAAAGTCAGAGCTTTTTTTTTTCCTCACTATGATGATCTATCT